TTTTGTGTGCATTTTCCTTGTTTTACTTTGCAGCTTGCAGTCTTGGCCAGTTTAAACAACAATGAGATGTCACATACCTGTTCTGCAAACTTCCTTTATGTCCACCATTACTATATCACTATGGGGAATTTTTCCTTTTCTCATTTGCAATTGACAGTGCTAACCATTTAACATACTTGTAGCATGGAAAAAGGAAATGTGATAGAAAAGGAAAGGAGGAAAGAAGGTGTGTTCCTGTATAATTACCCCTGAGAACCTCCTCTCAGCAACCCAACTAAGTTCAATAGCTTGGCCCCAGGCTAGGATCTACCTCTTTCTCATGTTTTCTCAATCTTTCAATCTAATCCTGACAGTATCCATCCCACCCACCCCCCCAGTTCTCACCACCCTACCATTTCTCTTTATGTCCTGGGTGAAGGGGAATTAAGGGTATAAAGGGACTTAATGTTATGTCTCACTTCAGAAGACTCAATTTAAGTCCAGGCAGATTGATAGAGAGGTGAATACATTACTTATTAACGAAAGGCAACATGTTTGGGGAACCAGATTCTAGCCACCTGTTCTGCTGTAGTTACTATAAACACACTTCATACACTTGAAAAACAAAGCAGATCAAAACCTTAACATTTGGATAATATCTGCAAACACAACATTTAAATGGATAATCACGAATGTATTTTCACTTTTTTCTACTCTTTTCTTCTCACCATTTCGTTTTTTATTTTCCGGTCTCCACTTGTCTGGTTACATTTTTCAGTGAGTTCATTTTTCACTTACTGTAACACGAGTGTACAACTAGGTTGTGCGTGTTGGTGTGTGTGCAGGGAGGGACATAATGCTATGTGTGTGTTTGATCTTATTGCCATAGTTGGATTTACAGCGGCTCGCATAGGGCTCTCTGGGAGGTGGTGCCATGTTGCGTGGTGTATTTAGGATTAGATGTGGTCCTGTCATGTCCCCAAACACATCCCTCTCTGCCACATTAGGCATCCATTAGCAGGCAAAAGCCATTGGTAGGCGGACAGGTGAAACACCTCTAAAATATTGCTAGATAAACACAAAATATAAATAAAAAATAAGGGCAATCTAGGTATTAGCAGAACAGTGGTAATTCATTGCATTACTGGAAAGGGGTGGTGATAAATAGCCTTGCGTTGTTGTCTTTGGAGAAACTGCTCTCTCCTGTTAGTAGCCCAATTCTTAACTATGCAAGCAGCACATTCCCTAAATACTACTTATGTTACAGATAGAAAAGCGCTAAAATAGTGTTTGTTTGCATCAGCACACAAAAGGAAAAGGGATAATAATAAACATTTGCAAACAAATCAGAATGTTCTATTGTTTAAATGACACATGTCAACCTTTTTGATGGTTAAAACAAACAAACAACAAAGAGACACTGCAGGATGCTACAGCCTTTTTTAAAGGATATATATAAATGTCAGCGTGTGCTGATTTTTGGTCTGGTTGTTTTCTGTTCGAGAATAAATCATCTCTGTGGGTTGTTATTGGCTTTGAAAGTGTGTGATGGCTCTCAGGCTTAATAATTGCTGTCTGGTCTTTTGTTTGGAAGCATGAGCAAGATAACACACATACATTCACGCACAAAGAGACACACACTTATGGAAGTTTTACTTCTGACACAGTGATTCTTTGACTGGACTTAATAGCTTCTGTGGCAACATGGAACGAGAAGCATAGTTGTTTTATTCAGTGTGCAACATATCTCATATTAGTTCATGCACACATCCATGTCCACACAAGACAGAACATGTCCTTGAGAGCTATAGTGACAGCAGTAGGCATGCATACTAACAAGCCACCCAGCTCACACCTGAATCACTCTTTGTCTCTCTCTCTGAGGCGCATACACATGTCTGCCTGCGCACTCTGTTTGTCTAGTAGTGCGTTCGGTCTGTAAGCTCATCAAAAGGTTTTTATGTATATCCTCTCTATAGCACCCAGAGAAAACCTCACTTACTGTACACGGCCCTGAACACTTCCAAGGTGACTCTTCTGCCAGCTTACACTGAGAAAGGGCAGCTGCCATTTAAGAACAAAGGAGGCACTTATAGACTTTTTAAATGTTTATTTTTTATTAGATTTTATTTAGTGGATACAAACATTCAAATAAGGAGTAAGTAAAAGTATACGTTTCTGGGAAATCCAATTCCATATGTGACGTTGAAAATAACAAGTTACATAGCAGTCTAGACTGTTGTAATTTAATCAAGTGGTAAATAAATCAAATATGAATTATTAGTTAAGTGAATAAGCAAGCCTTATATAATTATGTAGCACTTACACGTTTCTAGCATCCTAAAAAGTTTAATATGAACTAAGTATAACGTGATACTAAAATGACATATGATGCTATATTTCTGTATATACATGTTTATTGTCAGAAAGTTGAAGGAAAAATTAGCTCTGGGCAACGAAAGATAAAAATGCTAATTATTCATTTGTTGCGGAATAACAAAATGTGTCATTAAATCTATTCATAGAGACCAATATATATATATATTTTTTTTTTACTTCACTTTTGTCTGCACACACTTATTCTAAGTCTTTCCCTATCCCTTATTACACATCTCTTCTCATCAATAGTGTTAATGAACTACCATGTCCAAATAATGACACAAAGACTAGTAGTTAATGTTATGTGACGGACACAGCGAGACCTTTGAGACACTTTACCTCGGTGTGTGTGTGTGAATATGTGCTTCATACACTCACTGTCTGTTTGTGTGACTGAAAGTTAACCAATATCATTTTATGTCAATGGCCGTTCTTTTTGCAAAGCCATTTTTGCATTTTTATTTTGTTTACAGCTATCAACATTGAGTGCTCAAAATCTCTCTTCCCTTGGGATCCTTTGTCTCCACCAACAGTGAGAGTATACTAGACAGAAACAAAAGTATAACATTGCTGCAAGGCATTTACAAAGTGTACAACTTGTTTTACCCATGGTATAAACGAAGCACTTGGTTTCTTAAGATGAGTCCTATGTGAGATCTTATTCTTAAAATATTATTTTTGTGAAAGTAAATTGCGGTCCAAAAGGAGTAAATAACACGGGTATTAGCATATACAGTACAGTAGACAATACTCTTGCTGTAATGAGAGATTCACTACATTATTTTTCCCCATTACAGTGAATTTAGAGATTGTACAGATCTATCAAAAGTCCGTACATTTCACTTTGTCCTAAATTGGAGGTTGTAAGCTGAAAGCAACACAACTAGTACAGTTTAAGTATATCTTTCAATGCCAGATACTTAATGTGAACATATTATCATTGCGAGCTAACAGCATACACACTTAATCATAAGTATCAACATCCCCCTCATCTCCCAGTAGACCACTGATAGGGATTGCAGTTAAGGATCAATCTTCAGCCGACGCACATATTTAGAGAAGTCTGAGTGCCTGTCCAGTGTGCATCTGGGGAAAATATCCATCTTTCTTTCAAAAAAATACTTCCAAATGGATAAGAACTTTGTGCTGCAGAGATGCTTCTCAAGGTTAACATCCATCATGTTCTCACTGATTAATTCATGACGTAAAGCTCTGATCAATTTAATAGAAGGTCATGCCCTCTCATCTATATTGATTCTTGAAAAATTAGTCATATCATCTTATGCAAACATTCTTAATATTTTTATAACCAAGTTATATTCCTGCCATGCCAACATGTGAATGGAAGTTTGCTATTCGACAGGCATTCATATGCAAAAGTTACGTTATTAGTGTTGAGGAGTATGTGTGCATTTGTGCCCAACATGTGAATAACGTGTGTAACTGTAACTCCATATCCATATGAATCAGAGGTCTAAGGTTCTACACTGAGTGGGGTTTACTGAGAAATCTAATCAAGGTGAACACAAAGACAGAAACGTGTCTTTGTGTTGATGTCTGTTCTCAAGTGGAACAAGAAATAACCCTTTCAGTCGTAAATTACATACTGTCTCCCAGAGACAATCCTTTCTACACTTTTTGTTAGTATTTCATTTTGATGCATGCACAAACTTTGGTATTAAATAACGTTATCTTATCTTCCAAAAATGTTTGTGTGCACATTCCCTTTGCTTCTTCCTATCTCTATTTTCTCACTACACAAAATATGTTCCCTTTTATGAGTGAGTGGTTAATAAACATTTAATAATAAATCAATAAGTTCAAATGGGAGAAGTGAGAGCAGCTTAGCATCAGTATCGCTGTCAGTTTAATCTCCCATTCCTTGAATGCGTACAAAACAGTCAATCCAATGGTAGCCCGAGGCTCCCAACACTCCTAATCCCTAATCCAAAATTGAGGGCAGATTAAGAGGAACCCTGGGGACTCCAGTCCTTCAGGGAGGCAGGGACGGATAAATGGATGAAAGCGGGTGGTGAGAATAGAAAAGATGGACAAAGGGATGGGAGGAAAGTTGCAGAAGAAGGAAATATGTTTTGACAGGATGGAGAGAGGATGTATATGATGGACAGATGCCGGATAATTTATGACACATGAAGCATTCTTTCCCAATAATTGCTGTGAGTTTTAACAATAAAATAGATATAGGGAGAATGAAAGCACAATGACCCCTCAAACCACACAGGAAAAGGCTTAATGTGATGGACATAATTTAATGTATTTTTTGAAGTGCTCAGTTCAATGACCAAGATAACCTTAAACACATGACTGGCACCCTCGCACCCAGCTCATGTTGAAGTGAGAGAAGGATATCAGATCGATGGCTGCTCGCGGTGCCCATGGCAGAGCTAAAATTGACAGATTACCCCTCTCTTCATCTGTCTGTCTCTCTGGTGCACACCTCCGCACCCCCTGCCAGCCCTGATGGGCACATCTCGTCTCTAGTTCTACAAGGTAACCCAGACAGCTGCTGCTGCTTATAGTTGCTGCTTCTTTCTCTCTATTTCTCTCTCTCCCGGGTCTCCTCCCCCTTTCTGTCCTTCCCTCACTTATTTTCTCTCTCTCTCTCCCCCCCACACGGACGCGGCAAACCTCCTCTTCACCAGCCACCGTGCGTGCTGGGGCTGACGCGAGTACCCGCATACGGAGTGCGGACGGCGGAAAGTCGTTGCGTGCATACTCGGTTATTTCGTCTCCTGAAAGCCTGCATTTTTGTCAATCCTGACGCGGAAAAGAAGCGGAGCTCACCTTCATTGTAGGTGAAAGACACCCATCATCCCGGCCTCTCTCTCATCTCTACAGGAAACTATAGACAATTACGGAATATTGTACCTCTCGGTGGTAATGCCATGTGACAAGGCTTTTCATCATTTGGTATTTCTTTCCCCTTCAACAATAGTCGCTGGGTTCGCCTGTGTGTTCTGGCGTTGGTTATATTTAAACAGGGGCCAAGTGGATGAAAAATAGAAAGCCCCTGGGCAAAATGGAAGTTTTGGCCGTTGGCTTGGTCCGCTGAGGCTGCTGCTGCTGCTGGTGGTGGTTTGGTGATTGGTGCAGGGGGGAAACTGCGACGCCAAGTCTGAACGCCTGGGAATCACGGGTCATTAAAACAGAACCCGCTTTTTCAAGACGACTTTCATTCATATTTTTGAATTATAACTGTCATTTAAAAGAACGGCAACGTCCTGCAGTCCCTCAGTTCGTGTTTAACCCGGCGACGTTCGGATACGGTGTGTTTTCTCTGCGGCTCAACGTCTCTCCGCTCGCCCAGAATATGATTTAATGTTTGTAGGAATTTCAACAGGGTGCCAGTCTGAGACTACCCGGGAATCTCCACTTATTCTCCTCTGCAGACAAGCATCACGCTCTCACGTCAAGAGAATCCTATATCAAGGAAGACATTACAGGGAATTTCCTTGACCGCCCTACAGATGGACTAAAAAAAAGCTTCGGTTTTCGGGATTTTAACTCTGTTCGCTCTCACTCAGAGAGCTGTCGTTTTTTCTGGTTTTGGATGAAATATTTCTGGACAACATGAAAGTTATCACTGCTATGCTGCTTGTTGCCGTTGTTTGGAGCCAGGAGTGGAAGTCGGCGCTCTCGGATTCAATCATCCACATTGGTGAGTTACTGCGCTTTCCCCCCTTTAATTCACGGTCACAATAGGGCTCTCTGCGTCTCTCAGGAAACGGATTAAGGGCTTTAGTCTCGATGTGCGCTGCTCTGCTTCAATCACAACATTGCTGGATATTTTGTTGACGTCCTGTGGTAATTACTTTGCTTTGCTATGAATGTAGACTGCATTCGTGATGTTGATACCATACATGAAACGTGTTTCAAAGTCGATTTTTTGGGACATCCACTTCTAATACAGGACTATCCTACTGATAAAATAAATATCTTATTTTGCACAATTACGGACGTCATGCACATTTAGTTTACAATCAAGTTGGGAATTTATTGAGCATCATACACTTAAATGTTCCAATTGCTTTAAAGTCCTTATGATTAATCTCCATTTGGACCGATCAATAGAGGTGGATGTGCAATGTTTCCGTTGCATTTCACATACAATAATGGCTGTGTGCTGCACGATGCGAGAAAACAGGTGGTTTCAGATTGCGTGATGTTGCCCTGCATGGCAGAGGGATTAGGATGGCAGCACAATCTTTACTTTTTCCCTGATACACAATGGCATTACCACCTTTCCATGGTGAGGTGAGCCACTGCAGTGCCAGGAGAGAGAGAGAGAGGAACAAAAAAACGTGTTATGTCCCAACGTCTTTTCCGCCTTCCACCACCACCGGTTATATATGGCACTGTTGTGTTGAGTGTGATTTCGACATTAGGGAGCGTATTCTTTCAGGCAATTTAACAGCGCCTCCCGCTCTGACTAAAGGAGAGAGAGGGGGGGGGGGGGAGAGAGAGCTAGATAGATAGATAGAGAGAGAGAGAGAGAGAGAGAGAGAGAGAGAGAGAGAGAGAGAGAGAGAGAGAGAGAGAGAGAGAGAGAGGAGATAGAGAGAGAGAGGAGAGAGCGATAGAGATAGAGAGAGCGGAGAGAGAGAGAGAGAGAGAGAGAGAGATGACGCTGGTGAGCGTGTCTTGGATGAGATGAGGACGCGAGGTGGTGGTGGTCTCACGTAATCGTTGCACAGCTCGGTGGCCTCCAATGGGCAATAAACCAGAGACAGAGCAGTGTGTAGGTGAATGAGTGAGAGTGATGACCACACACACACACACACGGAAAGATAAGCACCTGTCGATGTTAAACAGTTTTTTGACCACATCATGCACATTGCCAAGATCACATCCATATTTGAACAGAGACACATTCACACACATCCAGGCTCACACATGGTACTCATTATGAGCAACCAATTCAACCCACTGCATGTTGCTGCCAGGGAGGAAGGACTGGCCCCGTTCTATCCAGTTAGGCCAGATGATATACAGCATATCCCAGGCCAATTTAGTGGCTACCTCCACACCATTTGCCAAGAGCTGGATTAGTTTGTGGTCTTCTCTGGCCTGTAGAGGTAGTGGTGCTTCATATCAGACAGCAGCAAGGCCACATGAATGAGTTAATCAGGTCAGCAGGAACATAATGACTGTGTATTATGTCATGTGCAGAACATGAAACATGCAGATGGTATGCATATTAAACCAGGTTGATTGCTCTAATTTTGTAAACTAAACATTAGGATTCCTTTTACATACTAATAGTAAAACTGGCTTCCCAGTCGTATTGACATTTTGTTTGAATATTTTTGTATAAGGTTTTACATAAATCTTAGTGCAGTACAGTATAGGCTGGTGGAATATGATTAAAGTCACACATGTGCAGAAGCCTCATCTTTCATACAGGCTTGTAAACTGTGGTGCTTGCCCTACAGGGGTGGCAGTGTAATCCACTTGTGAGATAGATCATCCTGTGACTGGATGGTTTGATCACATCAGCTGCCACATGTTCTAGAAGTGTCTCACAGCAAGACACTCAAACTTTACCAGCTCACTGACTGTTAGTGTCTTTAGATAGGAGTGTTAGCAGTGGGACATCTTTAGGCTTAGCAAGACCAAGACAGGGATATTCAGCTGTAAAGGCTAACTAGGTTTCTGTCAGCTACTGGAACTGGGTCAAGGTTCTCTACACTGACTGACTGTCTCTTTTTTATTTTTTTAAATCCAGGCTAACTGGGACGATAGTTTTCAGACATAGTGTCTCACTGGCTCTTCTTGTTCATGTTATAGACCAGTATTTGAAATAAAGCTATGCAGAAGATGTGTAATAAACCGAAGTAGGGGCTCTAAAATCACCTCCAGTTAACTAACCAATCAATACAAATCCCAATTATACTGCATGTTTAAGGAGCAAATCTAGCGACAGGAGAAAGAAGAGCTATTCCTCCTTGACCCTGTAGTGTGAATTAGGCCAGTACGTGGTTTACAATTATTAAAATAGACAGTAAAAGTGATGGTTTACTGGTTGGCTGAATGTATTCCTGGTTTATTATAAGTCTATGTAAGTGTGTGTGAAAGCGAATGAGAGGACAAAGGATCAGTGTGGGTGGTTGGTTGGTGTGATTTCAGTTATTGTCTTTTTTTCCTCGCTCTTTCTCCACTACACCTTTTTTCTAATCAATAGTTCATTTCCTGGATAGCCTCAAGTACTTTGAATCACAGCAAGGGCTATCACCCCAAAACAAACCTTCTCTTTTCTCATTCAGTATTCTCTCTCAGAAAACCTTGAAAACAGCTGATATACCTGGGTATGGAAATACAGAGCATTATGATAGGCTATCATTCTATTTTTTACACAAGATGGTATTGTAAGGGAAACAAAGTGGCAACTATTTTCTGCATGTCAACATTTTATATTCTGCAATAACGGTTCATATCCCTAACTTTCTTCCATCCCACTCTCGCAAAGCTGACCTGTCTGTGTGTGCGTCATATTGACTTAGGACTGCATGAGAAGGAACAAATACCATACCCAGCAGGCACATCACATTGACATGTCAGAAGTAATCCCTCTTTAATCTCTTTGTTGCTGCTAATGATGGAATGATGGAAAAGGAGCGAAATGGGGAGAGATAGATAGGTGAAGAGATTTATATCAAAGAGGGGAAAGATTGAAGATGGAAAGTTAAAGAGCTATAAACCGGGGAGAGAGGTGTTTTCCTCAGCAACCATTTTTTGCTGTCTACTGAAAACCTGTGCCACCCTATCACAGAGTTGCCTTTATTTCTGTAATATTAACATCAGTGGCCAGCAGACATTTTCATCTTGAACTGTCAAGGCATTACATGTTATTGAGCAGCAGGGGATCTGGCACCACTACCTCGTCCATCTCCCTCTTTCTCTAATGATCAGCATGCTGCAGTTAGGGGGGGTCAACTTGCCTCTTGGCCCTCTCTGCATCGTGTGCTGCATTGCAATGGTCCTCTGCTTTATGAGGGTGGTTGGTATGGATTCTGCACATGTGTGTTAGAGAGAGAGAGAGATAAGTGGAAGAAACTAGCAAATGGACCTGGGTCAAATCATGTATAGAAAATTGACGCGCTGACCAGACACTAACATAACAAGATGGAGTATAATGGATTTTGTGCTTTCCACAACTTCTTAGTCTGAGCCTATAGAATCATATTATTTGTTGTTGTTGACACATTGAAAATGACAAGGACATGGCATATTGAAATTATTATTGGAAGGCTATATGTGATATAATATCTTTATCCTCTACTGTCAGATCATTTATGGTATCTACAGTAGATTCCATAGGTACCATTGGCTTCATTTTGTTGCTCCTTGCTAGATCAGAGCAGTGTAGAACCTGAACGAATAAACACATGGAAGATAAAAGGATAAAAAAGGTTTCCTTTATGTTTTTTGTAAGGAATCCTTAATAACTATTCAAGTGATAACATTGTGCAATTTGTAATAGAAGAGTAAAACCGTGTATACCATCAGTTGTTGCATATCATGTCATAACCTGCTCAGTCTTTCCTTTGTATTGTGGACTATAATAATATGTTGTACTTAAACACTGTTTGTACAGTGTTATACTGGAAATGAGAGGAGACTTCATGGGCTTCATTATCTTGTAGTAAAAGCATTACATTTGTACAGGACATAATGTGAATAGCAGGATTACTAGAGAACGCTTCATATGTAAATCAGTCATTGCTGAGTTTTTACCATTTTGTAAGCATTTTCAGTAACCCATGTTGTCTAGCCAAGAATTGAGTTGAATCATTGAAAATGTAGAAATGTATGAAAACAGAGAGTGATAGAGAAGAGATGAAACTTCAGAAAACCTTATTTGGAGGGATTTCATCCGTCACACCTTTTCATATTATCTGCAGTCAATAGACAAATAAGACAAGTTATTTACTTCACAAAACATTATGGCTTGAAGTGATATATAAACGTGTACAATATGTCTTTTAAAAAAAACAGCATCATTGTCATGTTACAACTGTAATGTTAGCTGAAATCGATTTTAGGAATAGTTTAGTCTGATTCTAAAATGTACTCGGTTTAAAGTAGAACCATTGGTTGACTCTTTGGAGGCACATTAAACAAGATGTTCCAAAATTAGGTTGGAATACATCTCTGATGTTACACAATCCAAAATACTCTAACGAATGAGAAAAGTAATAAGAGTAACATTTAAACTAAGATTTCTCTGTGTTTCCACGTTTTATGTTTGTCAAAACACAATTGCAAATAATAGAAATAGAGTTGATGGTCATATTTATATTAATCTATATTTGATAAATGTGTATTCTCTGACTTTGATGTTACAACAGTGTCCTGTTGTAGAAAAGATAAGCTACTCTTTTTGAGACCCATGTGACTTATATGAAAAGGACAGGGAGAAAAAAAGTTGAATTATCCTTTGAACGCCAAGTTCAGCGAAGGTGATGAGGGAGGGAGGCATGGACAGAGAGATTATTGGATCTATGCAGTGTGTTTTTGTGCGGCCTATGTGTGTGATTGGGGCTCCATCCCTTAACAGCAGTGAGACACAGAAAAGGGTTTCGGTCATGAGATGGAAAGAGTTGAAGGGCTGAACAGAGGTTTCCATTATTTGTAGGGTTAGGAAATGAGGGGGAGTAA